ACTTGCCCTGCTGGGCCGTAAATTCGGAAGAATTTCGAGAATTAGTGTTGAAGCTGTTATACGGAGCGAAGCAAAAATTTTCGCGCCAACCGGATGCAAACCCGCATGCGTTTGACTTGAAAGCGAGACCATTACCACGAGGCCACGGTGGCACTGCCGAGGCATCGATCAGCAGCGCTTACGAGCCAGAACTCAAACTTTGACCACCCAGATCTCGTCTGGGAGGTCCCCGTAGCACTTTTAATCTGCATATTCGTAATCAGCATTCGAGGCTCTATCGATGTACCTAGGTCTCCATTCAAAGTTCCATGGGAAGTTCAAACCATTCCCTTGTAGACTCGGGGAAACAGAGCACCAAGAGAAAATGAGAGACTGCTCGTCAAAGGAAAGGGTGAATTTGAGAAATTCGAGGAATAGGAAGAATCGGCGAGTAAGCAAATTGAGTTAATGCGTCCCAAGGAAGTGGACTCCGGTTTTAACGAAGAGGGAGAGCGTGCAAACCTGAAGAGCGCAGGTCTTCTTGATTTGCATATACTTGCAAGCCGCGCTTTTTTTCGGAAACGCTGTAAGGCGTACTCAGTCGATACACATCTAGTCCTTGGTCACCTTCTCCCGACTCGTGTATTCCCCTCATTAGCCAATTATGAACACGATCTTTGCGATCGCGTTTATCTGAACTTGGGTCTTTTTGAGACCTGGTCATCTTTAGAGTATGTTTATATTTTGTTATGCCTACCGGATTTGTTATTGGTTCAACCGCTTTACTGGTGAACGTTTCGAGCAGATCGTCGTCTTCAGGACCTGAAAGTGGCTGTAGACCTTATTTGCGACTCACCCGATCGACCACCCTACTTTTGGGGAGTGGTCGATCGGGTGAGTCGCAAATAAGGTCTACAGCCACTTTCAGGTCTTCCCGAGGACCCCAATTAGGAGACCTCCTAAAGGCGACGATCTGCTCGAGACGTTGACCAATGAAGCCGTGTCACCATTAACAAACATAGTCGGCGTAAGTCAAATCGAAAAACATAGTGTAGGCGTGTCAGGCGGGATGAGTTTGGCGCGGTGCCAAACCCGTTCTCCACCCAGTTGTTAAAGCGAGCAAATGATATGACTGTATCATATCGTTCGTATTACTCGTTTTCTACCACTTTTTGTCGCATGCGCGCTTCAACAAGAAGGCAGAGAACGGCTTTGACAGTGTGCACACTCATGCCTGACACGCCCAACCGTCCGCGGCGAATTAGAGTATACGTTCGCTTTGACTTATGCTGTGTCGAAACAGGGTATACACGCAAATTTCGGTTTGAGTCTGGCTGGACCATTATTCCTTCATTTGTTTAGGTCATTTCGTAACCAGTTAATCACCATTAGCGGAAGCGATTCATCATTCTGTTAAGCACTTGTAACATTGCATGCGTGTGTATTTTAGGGCAAAAAGTTGGAGAATTCATTTTTTTCTCAGAGGTGACTTACTGAGGATGACATCCTTGCATTATTTTTCTCACAATCAGTGCAAGCATAGGTAAAAATTCAGTAGTTTTGCACATCGTCAGTTTGCCGTTTTGGGAAATGCAAGAAAGTCAAGTGAAACAGCTGAATATTTAGCCTTAGTGAGGCAGTGTTGCGAATAATCGTTTTGGAAGAATAAACTTCACAAATAATCCTGTTACACAGGCGTTTCAGAAAATGTGAGACAAGAGCTAGGTGTTGTAATGTGCCTCACATGTGGACGAACAGAACGCGAGAGACGCCCAGCTCATTTTTTATTGCGATTTTTGTATGTTTTGCAGCATCGACCACAGCGATGGGGTCACGACATGATGGAGAAACTGCGCAAGAGAAGGAGACCCGTCGATTACGATTACTGAAGGAAGGAGAGTGGGCCTGCACGGACCCTAAATGTGCTCATGTGAATTACGAGTTTAAAAATTCCTGTGATGCTTGCGGAAAACGTAAGTTCATATTGACTGGCATTCGCGAGTCCTGTTCAAAGTTTGAAAGCAGTTTTTTTTATAGAAAAGCCTCGGTCAAAGAATCGAGTCGGAAAGGAGATCGGCAAGGAATTGGCTGACAAATCCAAAGGTTTGTTTGCTGCGGAGGATTGGGTGTGTTCTAAGTAAGTTTCAAAACCGATCTATTTGTGTGTCTACATATGTCTTATCTCACGATGATGATAATTTTTTGCTGTTATTGACAGATGTGGCAACGTCAACTGGGCAAGGCGAAAAACTTGTAACGTTTGTAATGCCCCCAAATTGGCAGATCTTGAAAAAAGGACAGGTACGTTGCGTCGTCGTCTGACTTTCAATTGCATTTTTACTAGCCTTTTTTCATTGATTTATTGATCCGTACTTTTTGTAGTTTCTATATTTCATTTTGAGCTGGCTTTCTAACGTTGTTCTTTGCTGATATGAACTTTGCCTCATTATGGGCACCGTTCAGGCTACGGTGGCGGGTTCAATGATCGGCAAGATATTGAGTATATCAGACGAGATACTGAAGATGAGTTCGACGAATTTGGTAGGAAAAGGAAGAAGAAGGACAATGATCAGCAGAGCGCCGCACCTGTTGAGCAGATAAACGAGCCAAAAGTCATAGACGAAACAGTGGACGATGAAGATGAGGAAGAGGAAGAGGGCGAGATCGATAAATACAAACTGGGAAGCGATGCAGAGGAAGAGGTGGGTTGGAGGTAAGACCGAACTTTAGCAGACCAACAGTAGCCGTACAAAACATTCATCACATAGCACTCATAGTTTCATCGCGACGATTCAGCGCTCATACTTTGCGTCAGTGTTCACCGACGTCTCGAGGTACCGAGGAAGTATAGGTATTGATCTAATGAAAGCCAGCGTCCAACAGCGCGGAGCAGGGTTCTTGCGAGCACGTTTAAACCTGAGTAAAAGTACTCGCGAAAACGCCGCTGTACGCTGGTGGACGCTAGATCAATATCTGTACTGTGCTGATTGCTGCGCTGGCTTTCGCTCGCAACACTCGTGGACGCTGGTGTTCGTGGCTGGCGCTGACGCATGTATTGAATGCAGCATGAGGATTAATGAGATACAGTTACCGTTCTGTCATCTTCATTCCTGCTGAACATCTCCGAAGATGGCAGTACGGTAACTTCAGTAGGCAAACAACCATACACCGTACCCCCAAATGAGCCGTAAATAAGTCTGGGTGCACTGGCACTGCAAAACACAGTATGTTTAGCGACAGACGACGTCGAAATGGCTTGGAACGTTCGTCTTCCGATCTTGCAGCATATCTAAGAGCGCGTTCAGACTTCGCGATCGCGCTACTGAGGGTGAAATTACTGCGGGAGGGGGTCATGTTCGTTCATGTTCAACTCAACTCAACAAACAACAACAACAAAGTTCTGGGAAGGGAGCGTACTAATATCACCATTTCTCACATCACGATGCTGTATCCTGCCTCCAATAGGCAGTTCCAAAAACGATATAAAAGTAGTTCGACCTTTTTTGATGTCTTTTATTCCGTGTTCATATTCGCAATACTGACGTTTGTTTGCAGAAACCGTTGAAAGGAAAGGTTGTGTATAGACCTGGAGGATGGCAGAACAAACAAAGCAACACAATGTGACAAAAGTAAAGTGAATATCTGGAGGACTGGCAAAATCGGGGGAAGGGAGAGAAACAACATCACCCGCTGTTGAAAGTTCTGCGTGTCTTACTTTTGGAACAAGATGTTCAACACTCCGCTTGAACGTACTCAAATGCAAAATTCAGTATAATAATTAGCATATTGTATATTTAGTACTATTTTAATATAGAAATAAGAAATCAACTTCAAAAGATTATCATTTGAAACTGTTTTGTAAAATCTATAGGAGGGCGTTATGTACACAAAGGAAGAAAGAAGGAAAAGAGAGAGAGCAGGATCAATAAACATATACGCACATAACCCCCTCCCGCAGTAATTTCACCCTCAGTAGCGCGATCGGATCGCGCGATCCAAGCGATCGATCGGCGCGATCGCGAAGCTCTGCAACGCCAACGAGTCCCGTTTGGGCCGCATCACATCATTTGAGCGTTTGAGCGTTTTCGAGCGTTCTGGGCGAAAAGCAAAGTTAGCTATCGACATAGGCTATCGACATAGCTGAATCTTCTCAGTGGAATGCTAGCGTTTTGAGCGAAAAGTATAGTGTCAGGTGTCGGTCGTGGCTTAAAAACAGACCGATATATAACATTTTCACTCTAATTCATTCCTTTTTTCAAAAATTCACTTTTTCAAACCAAATTCACCCTTTTTCAAACCAAATTCACCCTTTTCAAACCAAATTCACCCTCACTTTTCACATCAAATTAACCACACTTATTAGGGCGGGCAACTCATCAACCAGATCACGCCAGACATCACTGCGAGCCCCGCCCCGACGGCCACGCCCACTTGTCAGCGCGGACATAGATTCTCAAATCTTGTTTCATAACTTCTGCTTTTGCTGTTTCCACAAACACTTTGACTGGAAACGACCGGCATTGACACATGGCGACTTCGCCCATTTTCTAAAAGGTTTGGCGATCCAAGCTGACCACGCCCACTTGCTTTTCGCGGACTTTCGATATTTTTTCAAAATTTTTGCATTTTAGGGCATGAAGCTCCGCC